CAGACCTGAAGGGCAGCTAGGGGCCATAGTCTCAGTGGTTTCACCAGGCTCTATTGGACCAGCAAACCTGGTCCCCACCTTCTTTTTTTTTTTTGCCGGGCAGTAGGTTTGAGGATCCCCCCAATCTCACTGGATCCAATTAGTCTGTTTCCACATGAACGTGAAGTTCTCTTCATGCTTTTCTACTTTTTGATCGGGATGTTTGTTTTGTGCCCTGGATCAAAATGTTCAGTAATGGCAGCTGGGCACCATCCAGTTCCTCCTGTCTCTTGGCAGAACAGGCAGTAGTTCACCGAGCCTGCTGGATTTGCAGTCTATTTCCTTCCCCCTTTCCTCAGTCTCCTTTCTGAGGCCCCTTTTACAAGGTTTTCCTGAGCATTTCTTGCAGGGACACAGGGATATTTTTTCTCCACATCCTTGATCTCCTCTGCTCAGGTGTGCTCATGTCACCAGGGGAGACCCTTCTCTTCCATCTGGTAGACCTTGGGCAGTTCCGTCCACTGAAGCCTGACCGGGTGCTGGGCCAAGATAAGGTGGTCCTGCTCCTTGTCCCCAAGGAGATCGCTGTTCGGGAACAGAGGACCAGTGTTGTGCTGCCTGCCCTGAAGGGGAGGAAAGGCCCATACCAGGCCCAAGAGAACAGTCCGCGAAGCAGCTGTGCATACCGGGAACTGGGCACAGGTCGTAGGTGGCACATAGATTCACAGCTCCTTTTATAGTTCTTGCCATTTTCGGCAGCTGATACTGGTGTTCCATTTACAGAGGTGATACAAAGTCTCCTTTAGAAAATTTATTTAAGCAAGAGAAAAGGGGGAGAGAATTTAAAAGGAGTCAGTCACGTTAGAGCTGGTGGGAAGACAGGCAGTGCACACCACACAGGGGGCCGGGGTGCCCACCTCCGTCTGTCCTCCCTCGCGTGCTAACAATGGTTTTCTGTTCCGTAAGCAGGAAAGACGGCAGCGCAGACAGCCCGCGGGGCTCCGGGCCACCCCACACCGGGGAGGAGGAGGCGCTCCCGTGAAGGCTGCACCGCCTGCTGACAGCTGGGGGGCCCCGGTCGCTGGTTTCCCCACATGCATGCCGCCACCGCAGCCCGAGGCGGAAGCGATGGAGCCGGAGTAGCTGCCGGACCGCCCACTAGCATGCCACTTCCGGTGCTGCAGCGTCCGCCCTCCCCCAGCAGCATGCCCTGCGGACTCACAGCATCGCGGTCTCTGTTTCTTCCTTTGTTGTGTGAAAGGGGACGTGGAAAAAAAGGGAACTTGACTCCCTAATATCCCATGGCCGCTGGCTGGCTGAACCGGCAGGTGTGAGGAGTTGCAAGCCCACATGTGTCTGGGGCAGTTGCTTTGTAAAAGGTTTCTACGCCAAAAATCCTTTGTTGTGAATTCAGAACTCTGTCCAGTACATCAAGTGAACGGGTCAGAGATTTGGAAATCCCGAAAAAGTGCCAGAAGACTCCATCCTCTACAGTCACAGAGTAAGCTGCTGTAATTGTCAGGAGCAATAGTGATTCTTCATGCAAACTCCAGACTGAGGAACCTTCTGGAAACAAGGACCCTGGGCTTCAGAAGAGGGCTTGCCCTCAGTAACTGTAGTGAGCTTTGCTGCACCTTATTTGTAAGAAGGACTTTCGACGGTTTTTATGGGTAGAGTTGTAGTCAAGAAAGTGAAAGGGCTTGAAGTTAAGTTCACTTGCTTCAGAAGGGGATTCCTTCCCAGCCTTCAAAGGGGCATTCGGGGATTTTGGTGGGAAAAGTTTCGCTAAGGGACTGACCGCATTTGCAAGTAGTTGACTGACCGTAGTGAATCTTTTGTTAAACGACCAAAACTAAAGGGTGAAGCCCTGCTCCTCCATGTACATTACATGGCTTAAGATTAAACACCACCACAGACATTTTCAGTTCTCCAACCTGAACTCCAGGCAGTTGAGAAACCATTCAGAGCTTCCAGGACATATATGTCCTTGCTTCAAGCATGTGACAGGGTTACAGCTGATGAAATCCCTGTCTCTGTGTTAGCAGCTTAGCGTGTTTTTAATCTGTGTCTGCAAGAGATTGCCGAGGACAAAAGTCCTCTCTTCAACACTAGTTGATTGTTGTGGTCAATGGACTAGGTACCCAGTTAGGAAACACTTGTGCTCAACCAAGAGAAACAGTTGTCGTTCCAGTCCACTGTTCCTGTGGACAGATGGAATAACATTGGGGCACTGATTAGAGAAGACTGTGGACGCCAAGAGTGTCCTGAGGGCGTGAAGGTTCCCAAACTTGGCACAGGGAATCCCCTCTTGCAGCCAAGAGTCTAGAAAGGAAAGATTTTGATTCCCAACCAATATTGAGAAGTTTGGTTGAAGTACAAGGTGAGGTCTTCCAGAGCCATGTGTGTGTGGGTGTGCAGTTCCTGGGGGTACAGAGGAGGCTGGAAGGACAGCCCTGGGAGCAGCTGAGCTCAGTGTCCCTGTGCTTTGGGGACTCCGAAAACAAGCTTTTCTCTGATCAGTGCTATTCGGGGGCCGCCTTTTCTCCTGTTCCCATTCACACAGCCCTGAGCCGCCTTGGCTTCCACAGATTTTCCTTAAAGGTTTAGCCACACCTTTCTTGCTATTTCACAAGCAGCACAGAATTAGAGAATCCTAGGTTAGAAGCACAAAGGATACCAGGCCTCAGAGAGGGCCATCACGACAGCTTGCCTGCCTGCCCACTTTTTTGTCACCTAGTACTTGTGCTAGCCCTTGAATTCTTCCAAATTTATGAGGAGTCTGCCCCTTCAGTTAGCAGATGGGGTTGGGTTAGTTGGCAGTAAGCACCTTGCAACGGTCCTCAGTGTTGGAGCGGCTTCAGGAGGCCGAACGAGCTTGGTGGAATTCCTTGTGTCTCCACGATGCCGTCTGTCATCAGACAAGGCCACCACCCACTGCGAAACTTCCCAGCTCAGCCTTCACATGTGGTATCGGATGGGCTGGGGGAGACAGACCCCAGTTGCTTTTTTACAAAGAAATACCAAAGAGCTGCAGGAAGAAACCACACCCTCTTCTACCCTCCTACCCCCAACGGGAAGTGTAGTAAAACCTGCGAGAGCCAGAACCTGCGTAAGGCAGAAACCTATCAGAGAAGGAAAGCACAAAGATTTCCCACTGAGAGTGCTAAGACCGCAGGCTGGCAAAGGCGGGACATTGGCAAGCTGCAGAAGAACACGGCAGTCTCCCACAGGTTTCCGCGTTGAAGCAGAGGCGGCCCCAGCAGGAGCGTCAAGACCAGCCCCATGCCTGGAGCACAGACCTGCGGGATTTTAAAAGCCATCGCTGTCAGGAAGGGAGAAGCTGCCGGGATGAGCAGATGGGTGACCCCCGCTGCTTCTCTGGCTGGCTCATCTTGGCCCAGCTGGGGGAACCACCTGTGGCCCACACACAGGCCTGGAAGGAAGCACAAGCCCTCTCCCCCTTTCCTCTCTGTCCGTGCACGTCCCGGCCAGCACTGCTGGTCGAGCCTTCCAAGCCCCACTGTGGGTGTTCGGCCGGAGAGGCGCACCCCACTGGCCTGACCTTTCCTGGGAGTTAGAGCTCCCGTCCTCCAAGCCTTCGTGGAATGAGGAGGAGAATCCATGCGCAGGGCCTCCCCTGTGGCCCTCGCCCACCGTTCACAGGTGAGCTTACCTTGCTGAGTGGAAGGGCTCTGGCCCCCACTTGCTTCCAAGGTGCTAGGGAAGGTCCCCAGGAGCTAGTCCCACCTTCTCCCTGGGCGGGCCAGGGCCCGGGCCGTGGGACCACGCCTTTTTGCCCCGTGACCCAGTGCATGCCGGTTGCTCATGTTTCCCTCCTGGTCCTCCTACTATGCATTCTCCTTGATCAGGTGTGCAGCTGAATACTGTGTATTTATCACTTACAACTACATGGACTTCAGAGAAATAGCCTTTGGTGTTGAAGCTTCTCTGTAAACTTGAAATAAACAGACAGCAAAATGGTGCACAGCTCGGGCCTCTGGGGAATCCTTGGTGGACGGTGGTTTATTTGCATCTCAGCTGTCTGTCCCCATGTCCCTTTTCCTTCCCTAGGCTGACGGTGAGGTCACATGGCTAGGCCAGAGCTACTGTAGCCAGCAGGTCCCCAGTTTAGAGCAGGTCTGAGGACCTTGCTCCTCACAGTTGGATCCCAGCATTGGCAGCATCATGGGGGAGGAGGTCAGGAATGCAGATTCCTGGGCCCATCCCAGACCTGCCAGATCAGAACCTGCTTTTTAACAGGCTCCCCAGGTGAGTCATCTACACCAAAGTTTGTCTAGGAGACAGGTAATTTGCTAGATTCTGGCAGAGGTCAAACAGGTGAGCCGCCACAGATGGTGGGGGGGCAGTCTCAAACGCACATTGAGTTACTGAGCTTTGCGCTGTGGGCCACACGCTGGAAGACGCTGTACTCCGTGAGGTAGGAGGGAACCCATTTCATGATCATGTGTTCACTGAGGCACAGAAATGTTCGATCCCTTGCCCAGAGTCACACAATTTGGTAAGAAGCAGGACTAAGTTCTGAATATGTCAGGAAAGCCCTCCGGACACCAGTCCCCTCAGGCCCTTGCCTTCACGGTCTGCACACTTGTCCGAGGCGCTCTCTGCAAACCCCAGTCAGGGCCCCTGCCGTCTGTGTGAATCTAGCAGTGGCGTTTCCTGGCTCAGGGGTCTGAGAACGATGCTGTTCCAGGCTGCAGAACTAAGTGCTGCCTGTAAGAGTCTAGAGCAGGGCATCTGTGTTCAAAGACTCCATGGGGAGTCTGAGGAAGGCTCAACGAAGTGCAGAAAGTGTGGCACTTTGCAGTTTTAGGGTTTTCCAAGACTCAGGGAGGCTCATCAGGGACACAGGTTGAATGCCTCTGACTTCAGGCAGCCCCAGGGTTACAGGTGAGGAGAGACAACTCAGGGACACCCAAAGCAACAGGCCGGAAGAGCAGGAGAAAGGGGATTAAAAGCCAGGAACCCGGACAGAGGCACAGTCAGCCACAGGGACCCAGGTGGGGGTGATCCGAGAGGTCTCCAGCGGCAAGACAAACTTGTCTGTCGGTTTGTCCTACTGTGGTGACATGTAGACGTGAGTTTTGAGGCTGAGCCTCTGGTGTTTAAAACCCAGAGAGATGCACCTGGTGCACAGGTAACAGCCCAGCTTATAGACAGACAGACTAGGAAGAAGGAAGAGGCCGTCCACTTCTCAA